TTTTTTTTTCCGGCTAGACCAGTCTGTTTCAGCGGTGAATATTTAGAAATCTGTGAAGCCCGTCATACACTTCTCCCCTGCTCTTTGCATGTCATACTCTATCCTGCCCTCCACATATTTCTTTCCTTCCCGTTGCCCTTACTTCCCCTGCCCCATACTCCTATAGAACTCCACCTTCTATCCCTTACCCTCCACCCTCCCCTCCATTCCCTTTGTACTACTAACAAATACATACGAATGAGCATCATTAAGAGAACCTACGATATGAAGATCAGAAACGAAATGAATGGAAGTATGAAGATGAAGGACGGACACAAAGACTGTATAAGCTGAAGATCTGAAGTGAAATGAACAGGAGTATGAAGCTCTGAAGAGCTGCACAGGAGCATACCTTCCCTTTTACTCTGCCTCCTGAAATACTGTGCAAGTGGGCCGTAAAGGCACACGGGGATGTGGGCAGCTGGCGCTCAACCACAATCAACGTGGGCAACCTTGTGCATAAGAGGCCAGTAAAAGACGAGCTGCAAGAACAATGAAAGGGGTACCCCAAGGACAACCAAAAAGCTGTCTAATCATAAAATTGCTTTAATATGTTGGACATCTCAAATGCTCTCGTTGTCTGCAATAGGACAAAGACTGCTTTGATTCTGAATCTATTCACCTGGGTGGAATTGGGCCTGTTGTGGGGAAAATCTAAAACACACACATGCACGCGCGTGCACTCACACACACACACACTGCCCTTTCCCACTGCCTCCCTCCCCCCTTGCCTCCATCTATTGGTGGGGAGCAGCACCTACAAGGGACGCTGGACCCGCTTTCCAGTAGGTGCTGCTCCCCACCAATAGATGGAGCCTCCCCCATGGTAGTAGCGGCATCTGCTCATATCAGCACCCCTAGTAGCCTGAAGGGTGTTTTTGTTCATCAAAAAAAAAAAAAAAGGCTGTCCCAGTAGGGTAGGTTGTAGGGTCCCTAGGTCGGTTGGTAGGTGTCAGTACCGAAACGTCACAGGTAAAAGTCAGTCCGGTACCCAACTAGAAATGTCCAGTCCAGTCCAACAGTCCCAAGTCCAATTTTGCAGCATGTCCCAGGAAAAGTCCGGAAGCTATGGGACCAACTAAATGTTTGCAGCAGACAGGCCGCGGCCGACCGGTACCGGTCTGAAGCAGGCCAAGCCAAGTCAAGTCCTATATTTAGCTGCTTCAGTGCAGCGGCTCATCACTTGTGTTCAATTGCAAGATGCGGAAGTGCGGCTGCTGCTTGTGCGTTAAGGCAACTTGGGTGCTTCGCGCCTGGAGAGGAAGAGGGCGCTCGAGGGTTACTCCATAGCTAGGGTAGAGGAAGGAAGGGAGTAGGGCGGCCATAGCCGCCGAGTGTGAAGCTTACCTGAGTGGGTGCATCCAGGCTAATGATCTAGAGTAGAGTGAGAGAGAGAGAGAGTGAGGCAGGGTGAGCCCCAGAGAGAAGAGTTGGACTGCAGAGAGCAGAAGAAGAGAGAGAGAGAGGGAGAGAAGCCATAGTCCCCGTGAAGTTGAGAGTGTGTGCATCTGGGGCAGAGCCGCTTGATGCATGAACATTTCTTGTACATGAATAATAATTGTGGAGACGGCTTCTACATGTGTTGATTGTATCTCGGGAAACAATCTGATCACAACATGTGTTCCCCGACCAACACCAGGTAAGTACCGCATGCTCCCCATGCCGTCCTCCACTTCCCTGATCAGCCCAACACCTCGCCACCCTTCTACCCACCTTTCCACGGGCGGCCTTGTTGGGGCTCACTGAGGCATGAATGCCAACACGAAAAATGGAAAAGGAAAAGTTGAAAAAACTCAGCTGGGTGCAAGCCATCCTTTTTCAGAAAAAAATAAAAAGAGGTGGGTGTGGGCGGAGGGCGGGGCGGAAGGTGGGGGGGGAGGGGAATGGGGGGAGGGGGGGGGGTGAGAGAGAATCTAAACACCACTCCGTAGTAGAGTGCTTGTTTAGCAAACGATAACGAGGAGCAGCAGGGGGGGGGGGGGGGGGGGGGGGGGGGGGGGGGGGGGGGGGGGGGGGGGGGGAGGGGGGGGGGGGGTATACAGCTGACTCAGCTGAGAACCGGGCCCAGCGCCCCTTACATGGATTTATTCACCCAACGCTTCTCTCCATTATGGTCATAAAGATCCTCAGTTGGCGGCACTGATTACTTCCTCAGTGGAAAGATTTAGGCTCATTTAGCACTGCTCCACCCTTGCCTTTTCTGTTTGGTTTCCATTTCTGAGAGTTTCCATTGTCCTCTCCTCAAGTTACTCCACTTAGCCTTGTCAAGCTGTCTGGTGATGTCTTCCTTGTGGTTTATAGTTGTACATCCTCTTTGCATTGTTGTCCCTGTGCTGCTCTTCCTCTGATGTATGTCCTTCCTTTGTTGCTCCTCTCCTCTATGTCTGTTTCCCTGGCTTTCGACCTGAAAGAATATCGTCAGGTTACTTAGGTACATACTACTGGTGTGCTGGGTGTGCCTATTGCTTTTTCCACTTTCAGAGAGAGAGAGAGAGAGAGAGAGAGAGAGAGAGAGGCAGGGGGGAGAGAGGGAGGGAGAGAGAGTTTGTCGCATTGTCCATGCAGTTTGGTTGTGGTGTTTCTCAATAAATGTTGTGTTGTGATTCTGGACATCCGCTTCAGTCAATTGCCGTCAGTCTCGTTAACTTTATTGTCCTCGGTCGTGTCGATTTTGATTGCATTTGTGTTCTCACCTCACCATGAAGTTATTCTGACACAGTGCTGCTTTGCTGCTGCTTCTTTTTTTTTGTTTTTTTTTCCTGCTTTTTGTTTCTTATTTTAGCTTTTTCCTTCCAGGAATGCTCCAAGATGCACGCCGAGCATTTCAGCTCACACGACACCTCTACTTGGACAAGTCCTCGAAGTTTCTGCAGCGAACAGCAACTGCCAAGCGACGACTCGGATGCAGATTACTTCATTCGCACATTACAAGACCAGCTTAACAGCAATGGCACTTATAATTGAAGGCGGCTTCCGACCACAAGCCAACTGTCGATCACCCCATCTTGGTCCACGGAACTGAGACACACACGCCACAGGTGGCAACCGGGTGTCCACACACAGCCGCACCCACCTGCCCCAACCTGCCCACAAGTGATAGGGGTCGGGCTTGGGTCGTCTACCTATGCCTTCTTGGGTGGGCGACGGGTGTGTGCACGTAGTGGACGAGTCTGGGTCATGGCGGGTCAATTATTGCTCTGGGTCCCCCGACGGGTGGGTGACAGGCGGGTGCATATTTTCTCTGGGTCACCCGACCCATAGACCCAGGACCACCCGAAAAATGCCTCACGCCCCCCCCAAAAAAAACAAGGAAAAAGGCCTTGGGTCCACCTGTGCAGCTGTCTCTTATACACATCTAGATGTGTATAAGAGACAGGTGTACAGTCGCTCTAAGCACCCAAGGACTTGATCAGCACATGAATCTACAGGGGATTTCATTAAAATCTGGATCATGAGGATTGATTTGTGGCTCGTTTCGTCCCAGACTTCCTGAAAATTCTTGACACAGTGTAATAAGTTTCCAATTGTCATTGTTGCAAAGTCATGTTGTATATGAATATGTACCAGTGTTAGGGACTAGCACGGGCGGTTGCGGGCGGGGAAAATTTAGGTCTCAGATACGGGCGGGTAGTGATGTTCTTACGGGTGCGGGTGGGTCCGGGTGAGCGCTTTGTTCGGGTGCTGGGCGGGTCGGGCGCGGGGCTGAAATTTCAAAAAATGTTTCGGGTTGGTGGGGTCGTCTTGAATCGGAAATTAAAATTCTTGTGTCGGGTGGGTGTTACCAAAAAACAAATTGGGCAGGTTGGGTTAAGGGTGAGGGAAAAGAAAAAATGCCACCTCTGACACGTGCACACACATACACAGACTCAAAACTCAGCAAGTAAGCACACGGCATATCACCCAAGATAGGTTGATCACAAGCATATTCAGAAAACACGGCGAACAGACTCAGAATCGGAATTCTCAGCAAGCAGATCAGAATGGCAGGAGCCAGAACCAAAGGGTTTTCTGTTTTCGGGGGGGGGGAGATCGACCTGGCATCATTATCTCGGAAAAACTCAGAGTTCTGAGACAGCAACTGTGCGGGGTCACATCGCACGGTAGAGAACAGAAACCGACGCTGAAAAGGTAAAGGCTTCCCAAAGAAAACACTCGACAGGAAAATAGTGAAAGAAAGAACAAGTTTCGGTTGCGGAGGCCGGCCAGGGCCAGTCAACGCTGGTAGCTTGCTGGGGTGACTTGTGCCGCTCGGTAACCGGTGGCAATGCAGGAGTGTCAGGCCACATTGAAATGGGCTTGGAGATGAGGTCCTTCAGACTGATCCGGTCACTTCGCTGTTTGCCTAAGACAGGTGGAAGTGGCTGCTCAGATCCTGCTGCGCCCAGTCGGGACACACACGATAAAAAAATTCTCAGGTTGAATTCTCAGTCAGAGTCATCATAGCTGACGTCCATGGTTCGATTACGATGTCTATCCGTCGCTGCCTCCGCCGGAAAAAATGTCGTAATTGTAGACATTCCTCTTCAGACCCAACTTGGAACAGTCTCACTCTTCCCCCCTGTTACCCTAGAGGCATCCAATTCCCACCCAAAGTATGCCCCTGCCTACCCCGTACCCTAATCTGCCCCCGCTGCCCCAGAGACATCCAATTTGCACCCAAAGTATGCCCCTGCCTACCCCTTACCCTAATATGGCCCCGCTGGGGTTTGATGTCTCCCCTTACTTCTACCCCAGCCCCAGAATAGAGTATCCCCCACAAATCCGCCCACACCCTGTCCAGGCCAATCACTTCCCGCCTTGTGAAACCCATGCAGAGTGAAGCTCTCCCTCGTCATCATATCATTCTATCAAATTTTGAAAAAAGTTGAGCCCTGACTGTATTACTGTCGTTGCCCTCTACCCAACCGACAAACAGCTCCTCTTGAGAAATAGACAGCTACTGTTCAGAGGCAGACTGGTGCAACTTACCCCGTGAACCCTGCAAACCCATAATCTGCAGACGAGAAAAGGGAATACCTCATGAACTTGTGGGCGGAGTCCAGATTCGCACCACTTTGCATGCAAGGGGCCATCCTCGCTGATTTGGAAAGCATAGCCCGCGTTAAGGGATACGTTACAGATCTGGCCCACTTTTTGGGGAAGAATGATGACTCGCTGCTAGTCGCAGTTGACTGGGATCCCGAATACCCCTTCCCCTTGAATGAAGAATGGAGGTGCCCTCAGGGGAGCAAGGAATTCTCGGTGCCGGTCAGCCACTCCCAAGCCCCATGGTGCTATGCCTGCAAACAGAAAGGCCACCTGTCCACGGAT